CTGGGTCACAGGGAAGGCCTAAGTAATCTTTCCTAAATTTCTTTCTTATCCTCTGCATCATTGTGATATCCTGAAAAATGACTTGCATTTCTAGAACATTACATTTGCCCCATGCCATGGTTCCTCACACTGGGATAGAGCAGGCAATGTGCTTGTGCAGGGCTGCCACCATGCAGGCAATTCTTTGGGGGCCACTTGCTAATGACAGGCACCTCTTCTTTTCACAGCACGCAGAGAGAAAGAGTCAAATGTCAGCACGTCAGAAACCTCCAGGCTCAGCTTCAACTTCAATGAAAAAGCACTTTACAATTGATTATTTCTGAAGACTTTTCACAGCATCAAGGAAGAGGGTAATGAAATTGTATCTGAACAGAAGGAAGCTAAATTATTTATCTCATACTAATCTTTACCAGATGGCTGGTGATGAAAAGTCTATACTGGCAAATATGCTGTATATATTACTTTAAAGATAATCAAGGGGGCTAAAACTTTAAATGTTCACAATGTATTTTTTTATTTTGTCTTCTGGCTCATACTGATTCCATACCAAGGCCTTTGGAAGTGCATGTGATTGGTATACAATAAATCATATCACGAAGTCATTATAAGTTGCATCGTCTTTTCATGAATCACATCAGCAAGTGGATTGCTTCTCTTTTTTAGCTTTTCAGATTTAATAAATTTTGGGTGTTGCCACATGATGATGCCTACCATATCCCTCAACACCAAACTAAAGAACCAAACCCATTGTCATCGAGTCAATTCTGACTCACAGTGACCCTATAGGACAGAGTAGAACTGCCCCATAGGGTTTCCAAGGCTGTAATCTTTACGGAAGCAGACTGTCACATCTTTCTCCGGCAGAGTGGCTGATGGTTCAAACTGCTGACCTTTCAGTTAGCAGCTGAACACTTAACCACTGTGCCACCAGGGCTCCTTCCCTCAACACGAGGAGGGTACAAACAACGCTCTTTCACCCAAGACAAAGGAAGAACATAGCTCGTCAGGGAGACCACAGTCCTCACAATTAATCTCTCTCGCTCAGCTTCAGAACTGGTCAAATGTTGACTTCTAACTAAAATAAACACAGGGAAGCGGTGACTGTAAGGGAGATAAGGCATGACACATAGACACTTCTTCCTCTTCTGCCCAAGTTCTGTCCCCAGGGGAGGGCTGTGTGGGTTCAACATCCAATTCTCCCCTCCCCTTCCTGTCATGAATCCATTTTCTCTTTGCTTTGAAGTCCACTATTGGCCTTGTTCTTTGATTGACTCTCAAATTCTAAGTGTTCAGGAAAGGAGAGAAGGCATTCAATTAGGTGTGCTGGTTCCTATCGAATACCATATTTTCAGATGAGCCTAGCTAGTCTATACTGCTCTCTAGATAAAACAGGTAAGAGTTCAGGTCCCAGAAAAGAACCGGTTTGTGTAGAGAATCACAATGCATGCTATGCCTAGTGAGCCAGAGCTTCTCTGAGCAAAGTCTTTATCTAATGTTTATTGTTTTGCAGCATGTGCAGGATCACCTCTGACTGTCTTACAAAGACCGATTACTCTGTATGCCGCTTACAAGGATTTTACTCATTCAAGTGGACAAAAATTTCTTGAGTGCCTATCATGTGCACTAGTTTTCCTAAACTAGATGCCGGTCCTCATGGTGCTGAATACTTTGGGAATGGCATTTGCCTTCCGCAGAAAGTTTTCCAAGGAGTACTTGCCAGGCCTCAGCTTGAACTCATGCAATGCTCCAAAGTGTGTTCCTACAGTAGAAACAACAGACCCAAACTGAGTTCCATAGCCTACAGGGTCCATCTATTGGCTGACCAAGACACGGCCTTGCTTTGGATTAATCTCTTCTTACTAGGATAATCTGACTGAGCATTTATTCCATTCAAAAAGGATTCATGTGGTAACTTGATATTATTACCATCATCATCAGCTAAGTATTTACCAAAAAAAAAAAAAAGACCATTGTAAGTCAAGGTATTGATAAGAATTGAAATAGCTTATGTTGAAACCTAAAAAGAGATCCTTCAGAATCACACTTCAGAATAACCAAAGTTGCCACTGTGACAATACCTACAAGAACATACAAGTCACACATCCTATGACTATGTCAACATGAGTCAATATAATCATGTGGTTGTTAGTCGCCGCTAAGTTGGCTCCGACTCATAGTGACTTCACGCAAAAAAGAACAAAACGTTGACCGGTCCTGCACCATCCTCACAATTATTGGTGTGTCTGAACCCATTGTTGCGCTATTGTGTCGATCCATCTCATGGAGGATTTCCCTCGTTGTTGCTGATCCTTTACTTTACCAGACACAATGTGCTTTTCTAGCAGTTGGTCTTTCCTGATGATGTGTCCAAGGTAAGCAAGGCAAAGTCTCGCCATCCTTGCTTTTAAGGAGCATTCTGGCTGTACTTCCTCCAAGACTGAGAATCAGAGTTAACTACAAATGATACTGTACACAATATACCAATCTAAGATAATAAGTTTCCATTTTTAATCACCCTCCTGCATGGTGAGATTACTAGTACTCCAATCACCAGAAACAACATGCTATAAAACACAGACACCTTGGTGTCACTGAAGTTATACTTTCTGCTATTCAGACCTACTTGAGGGAATGTTTACAGAAGCTAGACATTTGCTGAAAATCACAGGGAGATGGAGGGAGCAGGAGGTCTGTCACATAAATGACTAGAATAAAGGACAGCACGAGGACTCGAAGTAAACACTAACAGAGTTTCAGACCCCATAGCTCTGGGGACAGGTTCTAATAATAGGAGCTTCATAGGCCATGCCCAGCTGTTGCAGACTTCGTGAATTTTCTAGCATTGGAAAGAAACAGGAAGAGACAAATGAAACAGGTGTGAACACCATTAGAATTGGGATGTTTAACTTTCTACAGACACATCAAATTACATGTGCAACTCCAATATAAAAGCAAAGAGATGGGTGTGCCAAAAGCAACCAGTCACAGGAGGACAGACATACACACACAGGCCATGCGAGAATGGGTGCAAATTACATACTTGTCTTCTTAGCAATATTACCTCTCTATTCTTCTAAACAGTCTCAATGTTTATCCACAATTGCTAACTGTATCTTGAGTAAGTAATAATAGGCTCTATTTTCTCAGTGCCTGAGTCACAGCCAGGTAGTAAATTAGGTGCTCAGGAAGGTGCGTTACTTCCTCAAGGCCACTGAGCCATCATTTCCGGTATAATATGCTTGCTTTGGTTTATGAAGATGTCCCTGACTCACTTCAGTAGGAGTTGTTTTGCCCGCACTGCTGATGGCTAGGAATTAACTGAATGTACCCATTTGTTTTCTCCTTGCAGTATGGACAGGATGGCCTGAGCTAATTACACGCTCTTGCTAGTCCCATTGTGACCCACAGTACAAATGCCCAGGATGCTTGGCTACAGTGTGAGGTTCGTCTGTGGCTGTGAAACAAAGCAAAGTCAATGAGACTACATGGGAGGGAGTTGTGGACTCCTTGACAGCATTCTCTAATTGACTGTGTTAGCTGGTCACTGGTTCCACATAAGTCATACTTGTAAAAAAAAAATTTACAATGTAAGGCAGACTATTGGATCCACAATCAACACCCATGGAAGCAGCAGTCAAGAAATCAAAAGACACATTGCATTGAGCAAATCTGCTGCAAAAGACCTCTTTAAAGTGTTGGAAAGCAAAGATGTCACCTTGAAGACTAAGGTGCGCCATGATATTTTCAATCACATCATATGCATGTGAAAGCTGGACAATGAATAAGGAAGAGAGAAGAACTGATGCCTTTGAATTATAGCGGTGGTGAGGAATATTGAACATACCATGGACTCCCAAAAGAATGAACAAATCTGGCTTGGAAGAAGTATAGCCAGCATGCTCCTTAGAAGCAAGGATGGTGAGACTACGTCTCACATACTTTGGACATGTTGTCAGGAGGGATCAGTCCCTGGAGAAGGACATCGTGCTTGGTAAAGAAGAGGGTCAAGGAAAAAGAGGAAGACCCTCTTTTTGACACAGTGGCTGCAACAATGGGCTCAAGCATAACAATGATTATGAGATGGCGCAGGGCCAGGCAGTGTTTCATTCTGTGGTGCACGGGGTCGCCAAGAGTCGGAACTGACTCAACAGCACCTAACAACAACCAAACAAAGGCAGACTATGTCACTCCTCTGTTCAATAACTCTCCAATGGCTTCTCACCCCACTCAGAGTCAAAGCTGAAGTCTGACCCCTACTACCTCTCTGCTCTCCTCTACCACCCCCTCTCATTCACTTTAGTCACACTGGCTTCCTAGCTTGTCCCTTGAACGTGACAAACACAGTCCCACCTCAGTCACTTTGAACTTGCTGCTACCTCTGCCTGTAATATTTTTTTTTCCCAGATATCCACCTGGATCCTTCCTTCTCTTCCTTCCAATGCCACCTTAACAGAGAAGCTTTCTCTGACTACCTTACGTAAAAGAGTAATCCCCAGGTCTCAGCACTCACTATCTCCCTAACCCTGCTTGTTGTTGTCTTCAAAGAATTTATAACCACCTGTCAAGCTGTGTATTCATTTGCTTATGTACCTACTGTCTGTCTACCCCCTCTAGAATATAAGCTCTATGATGACAGGGATAATAGCAAATAACTGCCCAGAACTGACGGACTGTATACTCTTCTCCTATTTAATTTATGTTCTATATTAAGGCTACTTGGCATAGAGGTTTTAAAGTCAGTCAAAGGCAGAGTAGTAATTAGAACCCACGTCTGTCTGTATAACATTGGGCAAGTAAGGTAACCTCTGTGTCTCAGTTTCCTCTTCTTTAAAATGCGGATAATAGTAATACTTTCTTCATAGGGTTGTTGGGAGGAATAAATAGGATAATATTTGTAAAGGGTCTTCCTCGCCCATCTTTGTCTGGGAGCTCAGCTGAAACCCGTTCAGCATCATAGCTACACGTAATCCACCACAGATGGGTGGTGGCTGTGAATGATGTACGTTAGCCGGGAATCGAACCCTGGGTCTCCCACATGAAAGGTGAGAATTCTACCACTGAACCACCAACGTCCTCCATCTTCGTTGTAAGTATTAGTAAAGTATAAAACAATAGGCAGAGCCTCCTCTGAACCTTGGAAAATAAACACAATGTTCACAAAAACAGAGATGGCTGGGAGAACCTAATTTGGGAACACTGTGAGGCATCCTGAGCAGGTAAGATTACCTGTGATAGGCCATCCACAGAAAGGAACAAACTTCCAGCTACGGGTATCATTAAGGCCTAACTTCCTCAACCTCACTGAGGGCGTCAGATGGAATAATAACATGTATGTAATGACCCCTACTGAAGCTTTTCAGAAATGATGGCTTGTCATAGGTCACCCTTGTGCACTCTGAGCTCAATTCTCAATTATCAGTAAAAGGACTCATTCATACTTTTCTCCTTGAATGAAGCCTTGTTCTTTAGGAATTACAGGAAATCAATCTTGGCAAAAACAAAGCTAATTAATTGGCATGTATTTATTGATTGTCTATGGGCAAGGTACCGTAGCAGACTCTTGGAAATCAATCAAAAGATTCAGTTGAATCTTTATTTTTAATTTTGATTCCCTAGGGTCTCATTTATCATGAATAAATGCAACCTGTTAAGGCCACTAACATACAGATTAGGTGTCTATGACTGCATCGACTATTAAAACGACACAAATCACTCCACGCTCTGCAATGATCTTGTTAGAACCACAAACACAGATGTATCTCTAGTAATCACTAACTTATTGCTAGAAAAGGACATTGTGTTTGGTAAAGTTGAGGGTCAGTGAAAGACAGGAAGACCCTCCATTAGATGGACTGACACAGTGGCTGCAACAATGGGCTCAAACATACCAATGATTAGGAGGATGGTGCAGGACCGGGCAGTGTTGCGTTCCTTTCTACAACAGGCTGCCATGAGTCGGAGTTGACTGGAGGACAACTAACAACAACAATCACTGACTCGCTATCAGCATGGGCACTTACAGACGGGTGTTTGCTTTCACCACTAAATAGCCAATACTGGAAGCTTTTGCCTCAAGCCACAAGGGTATGCATGAATTATTCAAAAATACTTTAAGTGCTGACCCAATATTATACAACGATATTGCGTGTGATGATGGAACTACATTGCTTACTTTTTATTATCTCAAGTTTCTACCTTTTCATGTTGTCGTTAGGTGCCATCAAGTCCCTCCCGACTCATAGCAACCCAACGTAGAACAAAATGAAACACTGCCTGGTCCTGCGCCATCCTCATACTTCTTCATAGCTGTGGCTATAAACTTAAGGAAACCAAATCTTTCCTTATGCCTGGGCTTTATGAAAGCTTATTCTGGTTATCCACAACAGAAATTCAACTTATTTCCCAGACTTTTGCCTGGGAAGAAACAGCAATCCCTTATATGACAACAGCAATGAGGCCACAAATCACAGTTAGAAATATATGGCCAATATAGGCCTTTGATGATTCTGTTTCTTCCTCAATTACTATATAAAACAGCACAAAATTCTAATGAAAATGTTGCCATGTTGATTTTACTACAGATTTTTAAAGTGACTACGTCCCAGTTGGGAGGCCCTGAAAGGTTGGAGGTTTGAGTCCACCCAGAGATGACTGGGAAGAAAGTCCTGGCGATGCACTTTTGAAAACTGAGCCACTGAAAACCCTGGAGAGCACAGTTTTACTCTGAAACACATGGGGTCGCCATGAGTCAGAATGTATTTGATGGCAACTGGTTATGTCCCAGTTGAGAGTACAAGTATTTACCATGCCTAACTGCTTGGTTTCTCTTTTTCTTGAGGAGTAGTTGTGAAATAAAGTCCCATTTGTGAAGGATAAACCCTCACTGAAATAAAGCAGACTAGTGAAGTTGAGTAGTTAAAGAGTTCACTAGGACAATCTTTGCATTTGGGCGGGAGGGAGGGTTTTTCTAAGATAGAAGGAAAAACAAAGTTTCCTCACTCAAGTAATTTCCCAAGTAATTTTCAGAATGAGCAAAAAATGTGAGCCTGTCAAAACAAGCAAGTTTCCTTTAAAGAAAGGTGTGCGCAAACACAACCAGCAATTACTCACTACAACAGCTATCAGCTATCAGCTAAGGCTGCACCAATCCTTGAAACCTCCTTCCCTTTTGTATGGATACTTAAATGAGAGCAACTGGCTAATCCAATTATTCCAATTGTACTTTTTAAATTAAACTTTTCGATTTATTTAGGTTAGGTAGATAACGTGAAAGTTACAATAATGACAAACTCAAATTCAATTTAAGAGCAGACAGAAGAATAATCATTCTTATAGAGTATTGACAGAAAATACCTTTGCAGTTTGTCTAAAAGATATTTGAGTATTCAGATGTCTGGAATATCCTATATTCAAGTCCAGTCACTTTTTTTTTAGATCAAGGAGTTCTAGTGGGAACAAATTTTTGGCTCGGTCACCGATTCGACAAAGACTGTTTCTAAAGGTATGATGATGATTATTTCTACGTGGCTATGTAATCATAGCTTAATTTTTTTCTCAAAATTGTAAAGCAGACGTTATCTTTTATGGTGTGAGTAAACCCTAGACCACTGCGCCACCAGGGCTCCCTAAACCCTTATATCCTGCATATTCCGACAAAGACCTCGAATTGAAATAAAGTGGCCCACATCATATTTCAATGATGTAAGGCAAAATATTGGATCTTGATTCAAGTTGATGGTGGAAATACCAGCTTACTTCTTCTATCAACCTTGCATAATCTTGAAAGTTGGTCTTATCTCTCTAATCCTTCTGAAATGTGAAGGAAATGAGTAATGGCTTGAAAAAATAAATGGCAGGACTTCACCACTGTATTCACACCTTCTAAAGCAATTGGTAAAAATGTTCCATAAAGTGATTAAAATTGACATTATAAACGTAATCATTCTTGTTTTCATAAGCCCTGTACTTTTACCAATTTGATGCATTCTTGGAGTATTCATGTCTCAGCATAGGTTATTAACTCAACATTGCTCAGAGGAAATAACATTTAACTGGATTTCCAATTTAAGTCATAAAAGGAAACCTTTGTTAGCGCCCACGCCTTTAGAAGTGAAATGCTATATAGCCCTTCGTGACAACCCTGTGGGTGTCAAGCAAGTGATGGCAGCCTCCTAGCCTTTTTTAACTGCCCTGTTTATTTTGTTTAAATTATTTACACCTTGTCTAGCCAAGCAAGCCTATGATTTGGAGTCACCTTCCTAGAACTACTCGATGGCATACATTTTATTTGCATGCTGCTCTATCTATGTAATACATATTTCATTTTTAGAATAAAGTGATTCCAAATGTATTATATTTTGGGGAATTACACAGGAAATACGCACTCACCTTAGTATTCACCTAAGAAAAACATAGTTAAAACAAACAACAAAAAAAACCAAACCCATTGCCATTGAGTCAATTCTGACTCACAGCGACCCTATACGACAGAGTAGAACTGCCCCATAGGGCTTCCAAGGAGCAGCTGGTGGATTCGAACTGCTGACCTTTTGATTAGCAGCCGTAGCTCTCAACCACTGCGCCACCAGGGCTCCATGAGAACAGCAGAACCCTCAAATCTCGCTCTCTCTGACACTCGGTGCAACCACCCAATTGGCATTTGTGGACATAGAATAACGGCATGCTTTGTGCCTCTTTTAGATAAATCTACACTGGGATTCCACTTCTTTACAGAGACTTACAACTAAGGAAGGTTCTAGTTTTCTAAGCTCTGCTGCTGGGTCTACTTGGTGCTTTGGAGTTCCAGTGGGGATGAATGGAAGGATTTCACTGTGAACTCTGATGATGTTACCATGCTGCATTACTTAATCCTATCAGATGCTTTCCATACAAGGGAACCCAGGAGATACTGTGATTCTGATGGAGGCTTTCTCTATTTCTCACATACTCTTCTATTTTCACGAATAATGCTAGATAGTCATTTAATCATTCCATCTCAGATTCCTTTGGCAAAAATAAGAGAGGGAAAGAACTGCTAGATTAATTGAGAAATGAAGATACTGGTATAGTTGAAGATGAGCGTTTCCTCGTTCATTTTCACAGGTAGTTTGCTATTTTCATGCGTTTCATTCTAAAGGAGTCGCTTCATTTTACTTGATTTGATAATTGGGATATAATGAGAAATCTAACACTAGAATCAAGCTGAGAAAGTGTTCATGGCCAAATTCCACGAAGCACCAGTTCTGTAAATGGGATGCAGATTTAATCAGGTGGTTTTAACCTTCTTTATTACCTTAGTCTTTGGGGAAAATAAACCAATCCTCAATAAATATTCTAACCTGTATATTAACCAAATTTTGCTTCTCTTCGGAGGAGGTAAAATGAAAATGTAAACAAAGAATGAATATCAGAAATGGGGTAATTGGCATTTACCGAAAGCCTCATCCAAGACTCTGTGAGAAATGTTTAAAATTCCACACTAGTAAAGCTGAAATTCATGGGGTCCTAACGACATTCCTCTGAATTCTATAGGCTCGGTATTGAATGATTTGCTTCCTCGGCTTGGACAAAATCAGATCCATTGTTCTTTTAAATTCATTATTTTCTCCTATAAAATAGTTCCCTTTCAGACAAGAGTATAGTAATAGGTAATGCAGAGTACAATAAAAACGAAAATTTTCCCAGTTAACAATGAATGATAAATTCTCTTGGTTCTATATTCTCGTTGTATGAATTAAAAGAGGACTTTGGAATATGCGTCAACCATCATTGTAATATACATTGTTCAGCATGAGAAAATCAGCTTACCAAATAACGCTTCCTAAAAAGCATCTGAAAATAAATGCAGCAATCAGTGCTACGTATACCGAACCCATGTCCAGAAAATTTCCATTTTTAGATGGAATAAAGCATGTACCCATGGCAGAGGAATAAAATGTAATCCAGGTGAAATGGCACATCTGACTCTGAAAAGAACATTTTGATTCTGTTCAAAAGTTGCTTCTACACAATAAAAGCAGCAACGGCCTTTTAAGTTTTCCATTTGCTAATTGTTCCTAATCTATTTTCCAAT